GTCTATAAATGTAAAGATATCTTTCTAAATTCTCTCTCATACTAGTCACTTGTTTGCCAAACCAACTTGTGCATAAATAGAAAGGAAGACATGATTTCTCTAAAGCCAACTGGTATTTTGGTCCAAGGACTAAAAATAGAGCATGATACAGGAATCATGGAGTCAGCACCATCCATGTGCTTGAGATGAAGCACATGTTCAGCATCAGTTTTCTGGGACCCAAGGTTCCCAAGTCAACTCTCATCTTGGTCTCACACACCAATATACTAGTGCAGTGTTTCCCAAACTTGGGACACCGCTTGTGCAGGGAAAGCCCCTGGCGGGCCGGGCCGGTTTGTTTACCTGCCGCGTCCGCAGGTCCGGCCAATCGTGGCTCCCACTGGCCGCAGTTCGCTGCTCCAGGCCAATGGGAGCTGCTGGAAGTGGCGCGGGCCGAGGGACGTACTGGCCACCACTCCCAGCAGCTCCCATTGGCCTGGAGCAGCAAACCGCGGCCAGTGGGAGCTGCGATCGGCCGGACCTGCAGACGGGGCAGGTAAACAAACCGGCCCGGCCCACCAGGGGCTTTCCCTACACAAGTGGCGTCCCAAGTTTGGGAAACACTGTACTAGTAAAAACATTTGTCCTTTTAAAAGAGCCTCATCTTCTTAAGCTACAGAGTTATTAGGTAACAAATTGGCTCATGAATATAATTTATATACATATTGCAGGATTTCAACAACTATCTGAGATACATACTTTTGGCAGCAAAAGGAAAATGTCCTGATTCTGGGACTTGCACTCCTTTCCAATTCTGTGTTTTTAACTAATATTTCTTTTGCATAGCAAAGCATTGATGGCTTCAGTTTTTAACATTAAATGGGATACTCCTTTTTAAACCTTGCAAAACCAAGCTTGCCAAAACGAACTTCTAAACAATAATTCTACAGTAGTCTACATAATTGTGTTATTTACTGTATACGTGTCACTTATCAATTTGGTGATGAAGGCTGGAAGAGGGGCATAGTGACAGTATAAGAACACTGGCTTTCCATTTCTGAGGATTTGGATTCATGTCCTAAAGTCACAAGTACAGCTAGTTGAAACATTTTTGACTGAATGAAATTTCATCAAAGCTAAATTGTTTTGCAGAGATGTATGTTTCATCACACTTTTTTTTTCTCTGAAAGATTTAAAGAAAGACACACTCACACACTAGCTCGGGATCCGGGAGACCCAGGTTCAAGTCCCCACTCTACCTGATTCTGTGTGGAATATGATGAAAAACTCTGCCTTGAGTCAGGCAGACAACTCGAAGCAATGAAAACAAATTTCAAACACTTCGTAAGTTGCAGTGCAATGGAATTATCATCATCTAGCTAGCTCTAGTCACAAACAAGAGCGTATTTGGCAGTCACAGCTTCTCTCTTTCTACCTCTTCCCACACAAACCCTTTTGCACATCACAGGATTGGCCACAGAATTCAACTAACTGGCATTTTCTGCTCAAGGTGACCAGATTTGAAATGGTAAAGATATTGCAGGACTAAAATGCACTGGTGGAAATGTAAAAATATGTCTGCATAGCAGGGGCGGCTCCAGGCACCAGTGCACCAAGCACGTGCTTGGGGCAGCAAGCCGCGGGGGGGTGGCCTGCCGCTCGCCGTGAGGGCAGCAGTTCGGCGGAATGCCTGCGGGAGGTCCGCCAGTCCCACGGCTTCGGCTGCAATTCGGCGGCGGCTAGCCGCGGGACCGGTGAACCTCCCGCAGGCATGCCGCCGAATCTGCGTTACCAGCGGACCTCCCGCAGGCCGAAAGCCACCTGCCAGCTGTGCTTGGGGCAGCAAAAAACAGAGCCGCCCCTGCTGCATAGTACCTGCCAACAAAATGCTTAGCTCAAGCAAATGCCAATAGTGTCTGACTATGTGCATGATAGTCACCAACAAATTTAAAAACAAAAAAGTAAGCAGCCCTATCTTGAATATAGCGTCTGGTATCTGTTAAACTCAGCCCTCATTGAATCTGAAGATCTTTACAACCAAGATTTCTGGCCACTTTCTCTGCGTAACTGGGAGCATATATTCGTATCTACCCTGTTCCTATCTATTTCCCATTAGTGACAGCAGTGCAGACCCTCACTAACTTGAGTATTTGCTTGGTTGAGTTAATATTAGCCACATGCTTTTTCTCACTTTTCACTCAACTTATCAGCACTGGCATTTTTATGAATCCACTTCATTTAAAATGTTTGATATTATTTATATATATATATATATATCAGATTGTAATCCCTCCACCCCATAGGATGAAGGCAGCCCTCACTATGCCAATTCAAATAGTCTCTAAAAACAACCTATACACTACCAGATAATGGAAGCCATCAGTGTAAAAATTACATTATGTACAGTATGTATTGACATTAGCAACATTTATATAGGAGGGCTTTTGAAGTTGTTTTTTTTACCCAAAAATGTCTCATGTCGTTTTGATTTATACACAAGGGAAAATTACTATGCAAGAAATCCCAAAAAGCAAATTAAAAAAGCATAACAATGGATAGAAAGCTCATTTTTATCCCAGTGCCGATTTATCATTCTGAGGTTCTTGTGACTTTGATAAATTTTACAATAATGAGTAGTGTACATGACCTATAATAACCGACAGCTTGTAATATGTTCCATCTGCTAGAGAAGTCCCAAGAGGCACTAGCCTTCTACATCCAAAACTGTTTCTAATTTTATTTTTTTCTAATTGAAGAAAAAAAGTTATGAAACAGCTATTCAGTTCAGCTCGGCTCCGGAAAGCTTATACTAGACTGGATACTTGATATTTGAAAATGAAACTTCACAAATGCATAGAAAAGGATGCCAATCTCATTAATTAAAGTGATCCTTTTATTCTCTTGCTTGCCTTGCTTCTTCATATCCATCATTTGTTCTAGTAATCTCAAGCGTCTCATCTAAGCCCTATAGGTATACTAGCAGATGTCCAGGTGAGATCTCCCTGTTGTCTTGTCACTCTGACACACTCTCTGGGTAGGGGTTGGTGGCCTGTGATATACAGAAGGTCAGACTAGGTGATCCATTGGTCCTTTCTGGCCTTAAGCTATGATGCTATGATACTAGACCTCTTTGCAGCAGAAGATATAGACCACAGCAATGGTGACAGAGAAAGATAAAACCTGATTTCTGGGCTGTAAAGCAATGTCAGGATTTCTGTCCTAACAACCTGAAATGAGGAGGAAGCTGGGCTCAGTACTGAAAAAGAAAATTGTATAGTAATGCTGAGAAGAGTAAATCAGTGCGTAAGAGCTCTTGATTAAGAACACTAGAAATGCAGGGCAAGAAAATAATTAGGGCCGGCTCCAGGCACCAGCTTGGCAAGCAAGTGCTTGGGGCGGCCACTCCGGAGAGGGGCGGCACGTCCAGCTATTCGGCGGCAATTCGGCAGACGGTCCCTCACTCCTGCTCGGAGCGAAGGACCTCCTGCCGAACTGCTGCCGCAGATCGCGATCGCGGCTTTTTTTTTTGGCTGCTTGGGGTGGCCAAAACCCTGGAGCCGGCCCTGAAAATAATACAGCAAGAAGTATCTTTTAGGTCTTTTCACAAAGTCATATTCTGAAGACTTGTTCTTGTTGGTTCATCACTTGGTAAATCCATGCTGCCTCTATTTTTCCATTGTGATGAATTTTTCTTTAAACTTTCCAGATATGATCTGTACAGACTGGGTTTGCTGCCACTGTAGCAGCAGATCCATGTTTGTATGGGATAAATGCAATGTCTTCAGAAGGACTCCAAAAACAATTGTTCACCAAGAATCTGGAAGCACTCGAGGAGTTTGGGCGAGCAACGCGGTTCTTTATCCCTCGTGGTTAGTAAAGAAAAAGCAGAGAAATATTAGGTCCACTATATGCTGAGATTGCCAGCAATCTCTTTGGGAAGGTAGGGTAATGGCAACCCTTATTCATATCTCTGCTTTGTGCTAAATGAACTCAGCAATTATTGCCCTAAGCTTCCCTTTTTGGAGAGAAAGTAATTGAGAAAGAGCTGTCCTGTCGTGACTGGTTCCTGTCTGGAGCCCTCAGACTTCCCTGATCCTTCCATTTGACTTTAAGCCTGGATGGACACAAAAACTGGCATTTGTCTCACTGGTTGAAGATCTCATACTAATGGGCAATTGTCAGGTGTCCAGGCTTTTTTAATATATTACACCAGTGGTTCCCAAACTTGTTCTGCCGCTTGTGCAGGGAAAGCCCCTAGCGGGCCGGGCCGGTTTGCTTACCTGCCGTGTCTGCAAGTTCGGCCGATCGCGGCTCCCACTGGCCGTGGTTCACAGCTCCAGGCCAATGGGGGCTGCAGGAAGCGGTGGCCAGTACATCTCTCGGCCCGCGCCGCTTCCAGCAGCTCCCATTGGCCTGGAGCAGCAAACCGCAGCCACTGGGAGCCACGATCGGCCGAACCTGCGGACGCGGCAGGTAAACAAACTGGCCCGCCCGCCAGGGGCTTTCCCTGCACAAGCAGTGGAACAAGTTTGGGAGCCACTGTATTACACCATTGGTCACAAGCATAAGGCCCATCTCCTCTCCTCCCAAGCATTCATGTCAGAAAGGAGGAGCAAAAGTGTGGGGAGGAATTGCTTGTTTGTGGAGGATGGCCATTTTTGCCCACTTGTGGAAGATGTGGAATTATATAGATTTATGTCTACTAATTAAGCCTGAGCATTCTGGAAGGGCACAGTCTTTAAATCCAAGAACAAAAATAAACTTTATAGACAAAAACTAATATTCCAAAACGCAACTGAGTGAAGCAAATGTGGCCCACACAATGTACTCACATACTGTACTCTGGGTGTTGCGCGGAGAATAAAAATGCAAGGTTTTAAAAGTATATGAAGCATAATCTTGCTAGGAACATTTAAAAGCTGATGAAAGGCTAATAACGATGAATGAAGACTAAAGGGAGAGGTTACAGTGAAATAAAGGAAAGAGAAACATCCCACTGGAAAATTGAATGGCTATTAAATCTAGGGCAATTCTTCCAGGATTAAGACTGCTTCTCCATCATCATCATAAGTCATGTACTGCATGTTCTTTAACAGAGGTAAAGAAACAGTTTATATTACACCTGCCAAAACAGTGCAATTAAAAGTAGTTATTTCACAACACCACATTTTATACAGCATATTTCATTTGAGATCACAAACTGACTCCACAAGTCAGTATTTATGAAAGTAACAATTTCTAACATTGTTTTTCACATATGGATAGTCTGAAAATTACTGATCTACCATATTTTTACAGACACTTTTTTTGGAAGCATCACAGTTCATAAGTTCTCATTTCTCCCCATCCTACTCACAAGCACCTGCTGTGACATTCTATGTTCACATCTGAATTAAACAGCTGGCAGGCACTTTTTAAAAAAAAACCCTACAGATTTGATGTTGCAAGGACAGATCAGTAGAGATGATGCAGCCTGACCCCACTCAAGTTTGTCATAGTCTCTTTAAAACCCTCAGCTTCCACACACCTATGGCCAAGCTACTCCAGTCTATGGAACACTGAAACAGCAGAGAGTATCATCTCTGTCATTTACCATTCCTTTATCCCTTCCTAAACTCCTCCAATATGCTTCCATTTTTATTTCAGTTTCGGGGGGGGGGGGGGAATTCCCCCCTTTTGAAGCACCAGGCTGCAACCCTTTAACTGCTCACAAGGGATCTTTGAGGAAAGTCAGGTTAAAACTGTTAAGAAGGTCAAGCATATTTAGCCAACTGAGCAATCTAGTTGGCTCAACACATTCTTGGAAGTTTGGTTACAGAAGAAATAAATCAGAACAGGAAACACTGTGTAATTTAGCACTGTACTTTGGCTAAAGGAGATAAATAAGATAGAAATACAGTTGGCCCTAGAATAGCATGCATTCTAGCCTCTACAGCAGGGGTCAGCAACCTTCGGCATGCAGCCCGTCACGGTAATCCATTGGCGGGCTGCGAGACAGTTTGTTTACGTTGACTATCTGCAGGCACGGCCACCCGCAGCTCCCAGTGGCCGTGGTTCACCGTTCCCAGCCAATGGGAGCTGCAGGAAGTGGCACAGGCCACAGGGACATGCTAGCCGCTGCTTCCTGTAGCTCCCATTGGCTGGGAACGGCAAACCACAGCCACTGAGAGCTGCAAGGGGCCATACCTGTGGATGGTCAATGTAAACAAAATGTCTCACAGCCCACCAGCTGATTACCCTGATGGGCCGTGCGCCGAAGGTTGCCGGCCACTGCTCTACAAATTGGAAAAAACAATAACTCAATTTTCTCTTCACCCATCTGAAGGGAGAAAAAAACACTTGATTTTCCTTTGTTACCAACTGGTAGGGGCAGAAAGCACTAAAAATATAAGTTAGCCTTTTTAACAATATTTCCTGCTAGACATAGCACTTTGAACACAGGAACAGTTATAGCAGGGTCAGACCAATGAGCCATTTAGCCCGGTATCCTGTCTTCTGAGAGTGGCCAATGCCAGATGATTTAGAGGGACTGAACACAACAGGGCAATTAGTAAGTGATCTGTCTTCCAGTCCCAGCTTCTGGCAGTCGGAGTTTTAGGGATACGCAGAGCATGGGGTGGGGTCCCTGAACAACTTGGCTAATAGCCACTGATGGACCTATCCTCCATGAACTTATTTAATTCTTTTTTTAAAAAGAGTTATACTTTTGGCCTTCACAACATTCCCTGGCAATGAGTTCCACAGGTTAACTGTGCACTGTGTCAGGAAGTGCTTCCTTATATTTGTTTAACACTTGCTGCCTATTAATTTCATAGTGTGACTCCTGGTTCTTATGTTATGTTCACTATTCACTGTCTCCACACCATTCATGATTTTATAGACTTCTAGCAAATCCCCCCCTTAGTCATCTCTTTTCCAAGCTGAACAGACACAAATGTATGAAAACTGTTCCATATCCCTTAATCATTTGTATTGCCCTTTCCTGTACTTTTTCCAGTTCTAATGTATTTTTTAAGATGGGGTGACCAGACCTGCACACAGTATTCAAGGTGTGGGTGGACCATGGACTTATATAATGGCATTACATTTTCTGTCTTATTATCTATCCCTTTCCTGATGGTTGCTAACATTCTCTTAGCTTTTTTGATTGCTGCTACACATTGAGCAGATCTTTTCAGAGAACTATCCACAGTAACCCCAAGATTTCTTTTTTGAGTGGTAACATCTCATTTAGACCCCATCATTTTCTATGTATAGTTTGGAATATGTTTTCCAATGTGCATTATCTTGCATTTATCAACATTGAATTTCATCTGCCATTTTGTTGCCCAGTCACCAAGTTTTGTGAGATCCCTTCATAACTTGGCAGTTAACTTTGGTCTTATCTCTCTTGAGTAATTTTGTATCATCTGCAAACTTTGCCACCTCACTGTTTACCTCCTTTTCCAGATCATTTATGAATATGAACAGCACAGTCCCAGTACAGATTCTTGGGGGACTCCACAATTTATCTCTCCATTGTGAAAATTGACCAGTTTGCTTGTGCAAACAGTGAACATTTAAGGAATATTCTTTAAATAAACAAGGCAGAGGAATGGACAAGGACTTCATGTTCTTTTCTTTCTCTAACTTCTGTGATACTAAGGAACAAATAAAACTTTATTACCAATCACACTTTTTTCTCTTTTGCCTGTCACTGTCTGACTATTACTGCAATAGCTATATATCTAAGATGAAGCAAAATCTTCACGTGAGAATACATGCAAGGCAAGTTTTATAGCCATTAAGAACAAATGAGAATGTCATGAGTAAATTGTAAAAATAATACTCTAAGTGACAACGTAATAGAAGAATGTAGTAGAGAGGTTAATCAATGTATGAATAATTGATGTTGCTTTACATTAGGATTCAATTCAAAACAAGAAAAAAAATCAAAATATACATGAATGCAACCTTTAACCAATCCATTAGTTTTCATCTGCCTTTGGATGCACCCCATGGATAGGAATAGCAACTAATTTTAAATGTAATTGCTTAATTAGTGTATTTTTTAGAAGTAACCCAACAGAGATTTTAACGATATTCATTTGCAGCAACCTCTAAGTAGCTGCCTCTCACTCTAGGTATACTGTATAAATAGCCCATCAAGAGGGTCCTCAGAGAAAAAAACCAGAATATCACGTGCTTACACTTTTCTTAGCCAATTTATTTTTGCTACTCAACAGCCTAGCGGGTTATACAACCTAGCATACCACTTGACCTTCATTCCTGTGGTCTATGAAGTCAAAACTATTTAAAAAAAGTCACCACCTTATTACACTGTGTTCAGCAGCAACAGGTACACAGCATGTACTCTGAGAACAAATACATTTAAAAAGCAAACCATCACACCACAAAATCAGAGAAAAAAGCTGTCAAATCCTGTGACAGCCCAAATGCCACAAAAGAAAATCCATTTAGTACAGAGATGCTAGGCAAGTTTATTGGAGACTTCTTGTATCCCATGTCAAATGGCAGAAGCCACAAGGTTCTTCAAAGTTACCCGAAACAAATATTTTATTTACTGTACTTGGCCAGATTATTTTTGGATCCTTCATTTAGCCTGGCAGGTATTTGCAGGCTTCCAAAAGGGCAAGATAGGAGCATGAAGAAACCATCCTCCAGTGAAGTTTACTTCCTCAGTTAGAGGCTTTGCTGCTCCAGGATTTGTACAGAGAGGGACGTTTTTCCCATAAGACGAAAGGAGGTAGTCTACCGATAGAAAAATCGGTTTTAAGAGGAGCCCCGGAAATTTTTACACTGATACTATTTTATATGCACATTTATGTAGTGACGTCCATCATTAAAAGTCTCAAAGGACTGTACAAACACAAGAATCTCTTCACTTAAGACTGAAATCCAGCCATCTCCAGGGTGAAATGCAGCAACTGTTTACAACACAGTACTTCAATGCAGGAAGTGAAGAAAAATACTGTCTCCAATTCAAACTATCATATCCACCTAGGTATAAAATCTGTATATGCCACCCCATCATTGTCGTATCTGCATGTCACGCTAGCATATAAGAAAAACAAGTCTCAGTTTCTCCCTTCCCAGTTGGTAGGAACTTGATTAAGTTGACAGGGTACATGTGTGTGTTGATAACATACTTAGGGAAAGCGAGGCTCAAAGGATGAACTTTGCATTTAGTTCTCATTGTGGAGTGAGATCTGTGCCAGAAATTTTAAAAGGCAGTTCTAAACTGGCATTTTGGATTTTATGTACAGTTTGTTAAACAAAAAGGCAACTCCTTTGGGTCTTTGATAGTCACAATATATGTTAATTTATCTCTAATTTTACTATGTTGTGCCCACATTTCTTTGTCATTTAATGGTCCCTGTTTTCAGATAACTTGCTTCATTAACTATTTTAAAATTGCGTACTCAAGGAATGTATCCCTTTGCCAGTTCAGTTCTTTTAACAGTGTCTGTTTAAAAGATTTGCAGCGCTAAACTTAAATAAAAGTAAATTACCTCCAGGTTCATCAAGGTAAAAAGCCATGTCTTTTTTGTCTTCTCTTTCATCAATGTGATCGTAAGTAATCTGTGGAATGGATAAGGCAGTCTCTCCAGGATTTATTATTGGTGCCGCACCATTATCACGCCCAGGTTTTCCTTTTCTTTTGTATCTTCTAGACTGTAGCAATGGAAATGGGATAATAGTAAAGATATTAACAGCATACAGAGATAAGAGCAACACACTTGAGATTTATTGTATAGTAAATTTGAATTTGATACTACAACCATTAAGTTAAGTTAAAAAGTAAAGGTGAAATTCAGAGCCATGGCCAACAGCAAATTCAAAGCCATGGCCAAAGCCCTTGGCCAAGGTTTTCAAAACTGACACATTCTGGATGCCCAACTTTAAAACACCTTAAAGAGACCAAACTTCTAGTGAGCAGGCAGTCAATGCTCTCTGAAAAGAAGGTCTCTAATTTTTCTCAAATTGGATGCCCAAAACTTGAGTATAAAACTAAGGCCCCAAAATTCTGTGTTGTGATTATTTAACAGTTGCACAGGCATCAAGGCCTTTTAGAAAGATAGAACAGAGGGCTAAGAGTAGAAAAATGCAAGATCTAATGGCTAGATTTCTTCAATAGTCTGAGAAAATTCAGAATTGCTGTATTTTCTCTCCAGAGCATACTGGTGCAGCTAGAGATTTCCCCATTTTCCCTGTCTGTGAATAAGTAAATTAATTAAAAAATAAATTAATATCAAACCTTGATACTATATGATGTGCCAGGTACAGTACTAAAATGGAATTTAATATTATAATTAAAAATGTGTAAAAAAGGGAAGTCAATTATTAGAGATAAAGCTTTGGGCAAAACATTGTAAATTTTAATAACAGGCTTCACCTTGTGGGCAATCCTGTTAGGAAAGAAATGGGTTGTGTTCCTATTGATTTCTTTTAGTTTAAGTGATAAAGCGAAGTAGCAAGGCTAATGTTTGCAATGCTTATTCTATCAAGTTAGTGAAATACACCTATGCTGAAAGAGGCCGTAAATAAAAGGAAGTGAAACCAAACAGTGTGTTTATAAGAACACTTGAGCAGAGGGGAATAATCAGAAATAGAACTGATTAATAAAGCACAGACTCAGCTCAGTCATATGTACAGAGGCCCCGCCATCGTTGTTAAAACAAGGAGAACAGAAATGGAAAATTTACACAGATGTTCTAGTTTGAGAACAACAGTTACTGAAGTGACTTTGTACTGTATAATGTACTGTTAAAATGAGTTTAAACAACATCAGAGACTGTGGAGTGACTTTTTATAAATTATGTGACCTCTAAACTGGATGTTTCAGCAGCTAGAAGAGTATTTGATAGAGAAATTACAACTTGAGCAAGTATAACTGCAAAACTGGCCAAGAGACGTGACACAGAGAGGCTCCCAGAAAGCTACTCATGGAGATAAGTTGCTGACCAGAGCAAACAGCTGGAGTTCAATGCAGGTCTTAAAATGGTTGTACCAACAGCTATGGCCTAACTTGTCTTTACACAAGCTGGTGTGACAAGCTGTATTGCAAAAACAGACTGGAAAATTCCAGGCCCAATTGCAAGATCTCAAAAGCTGATGTCTCGTTCCCTGATTGGACTAATTTACATTGGTCATTTCAATTCTTCGGTAAAAGTATGGGTCACTATTTGGTTGGTCCATGCCAGCACCTCTAAGAAGAGGCACTAAATTGAACTGCCCAGCAGAAATAGGATGAAACAGTCTGTCTCCTTCAGTACATTGCTTCCTGAAAGCCAAAGGACCCCTGAAGGGAGAAGACGGACGTCATGGGCTGGACACCTGGGAGTCCACCTGGTGATATCAAGTGCCTATATTGGATAGGCACCTCTAACTGTCCCTTTCTATTTTCCAGCAATTTGGGTTGCTAGGGAACTGGGAAAAAATTATAATTGTTTCTGTCCTCCTTTCCACCTTTGTATGCAGTGTCAGCTCCTGCTGTGACCAATAACTGAGCTGAAAGCTGATGGCTGGGCAAAGATCTGGTGATAAGTAACACACATACTGTATCCTGGCTGACAACCCAAATCAGTCAGTTGACCACTTCCTGAAACAGTGTACCTAATTAGTCTGGATGTGTACATGCTTGTGTATGTGCTTTAAAGATTGTCATGAAGTGACAGTGTGTGTCTGAGAAGAGCCAGCTCTTCTCATCAGGGTCAAATTCACCCCCTGCCAAGGCCCTGAACAAAGCCAATAGCCACTTGAACCCTCAGCACAAGGACCAGGGTAGGTTTAAGTGGTACAGAGAAATCTTCGCTGGCCCTCTTCACAAGGGTGAGTTTCACCCATTAATGAACAAGGGCAGAATCTGTAATTATGGGATTAAGTTATAGCAAGGGAAATCCAGGTATAATAGTGCACTAGATAAAACTAGAAAAATAAATAGAGGCAGTGTGATCCAGAAGGAAAGACACTGGCCTGGGAGTCAAAGGACCTGAGTTATTTTGCTTAGCCCTGCCACTAGCTTGTTGTATGAGATTACACAGGCACAGAGCAATGCCATGCCTTGTGCTGTCCCTCCCCACCTCTGTCTGAATTGTCTGTTCAGATTGTATGCTCCTCAGGGCACGGCCTGTCTCTTACTATGCATTTGCACAGCGTGTCTATCTGCTACTGTAATGAAAATAATAAAATACACTTGGAAACAACAGAGGCATGCACTGAAATTCAGCTTTATTTCAGCCAAACTGGGATATTTGCCTAACTCGCTTTTCAAAGGTCTTCTATAGAGATAAGCACTTTAAACCAATTAATTTAGATATTACTAGCCAAATTGAGAGCACAGGCCCTACTGTTCCACTGCCTTTTCCTTTTCCAGTCATATATAACTGTTCAGTTGAGTGTAAAATGGATATAAAATGCTACCAGCTCATATAAGATAGCAATGTATGCTTAGTTGAACAGCTATAAATGTCTACATAAGGGACAAGGTAATGGAGAATCATGCCCATAGAAACCAATGGATACATTCAAAACAGAGACATATCGTCCATCAAGTTTGACTTAAGGATAATTAAGTTTATCTTGACACAATGTAAGGAAATAGATTCCATATCCCATTACAGGTCTCTTCCAACCCAAATGTTTCTACAAATTCCCTGCAACCTCTATACCTCTTACTTATATTACTTAACTAAATTAAAACCAAGAAGAAAATAAGTATGGCAAGTTCCTTTTAACCTGTTTTCTCAGACTAGGGCTAGATGGCGCTGGTGTTTTTTTTGTATTTTGAGCAGACGATGTAACATAGATCTTCCATGTTGCTGTAGAATTGTATGATTTCTCTGCTGCATAGCACCGCCATAGAGTCTGTAAAGTAAAAACCAAACAATTCTTTCTGTGAACAAATGGGCATTGTGTTCTGAAGGAAAGGTAACTATAACCCTGCCAAAAATAAACCTACACTGTGTTCTTTGATTTATACAAATGTGCTGCAAATGGTTTTCATTGAACCACTATGTGCTGTCATGTCAAATAAAATGCAGTCGCTCCCACGAGTAACTGTGCTAAGAGGTAACCATCACCAAGAGTCATGTTCACTTCAGCATGTGGTGTTTTTAAATATGCTGCTCTTAGTATTATCAGTGGAAGTGGCCTAATCCACTACACATGCAGATGAAAATCTGCCCCATAAGAAGAAATACTCTTAGAACATTAAGAAATGCTCCAGCTTTACTTTTTTATGCATTGTGGCACATTTTAGTAACTTTGTTCTCAGTTGACAGTCTCTTTACACTATATAAAATGTAATATTGGAGCATTTTCCAAAGTTAGGTGTATGTATCCATACATACACACCCAATTATTTAAGACATACGCAGTACTAATGGGAATACTACAAGGTAGATAATTACATGAAAATTTAAAAAAAATGACAAAGTTGCTTCTTTAGTTCAACAAGAGTCTGCACCTGACCAGTGTCTTTCACCTGAAAATCTCAAAGCCCTTTAAAACATTAAACTTCACAACAAGCCTGTGGGATAGGTAATTATCCTCATGTCACAGATCAGTAAACTGAGGCAAAATGATTTAGGGTTTAAAAGCCAATCAGCAGAGATGGACTAGACCCTACAAGTCATAACTCCTAGTCCTGTGACCACTAAACTATACTCCTCCATCTACTCTGTTTTATTATTCAAGCGATTACCTGAATTAGAGAAGCTGCAGCTGGGATCTGCCTGTTGAAATGCTTCTGACGTTGTTTCTGTTGTACCTTCAAGGCAAAACCAGAACCCAGAATCCCCTAAAAATAAACCAAATACTGGTAAGTCTCTGGTGAAACTTTTTTAAACCAAAATTTAAAGCATGAAATAAAAATATTTTCTTCTTGGCAACTCCTCCTTTAATATTAATGAGAGAATTTCACCTAAGCTCAGTTACAGTCAGGGAGTATCTTAACTCTTAACATTTCCACGAGGATGAAATTTATTTATCCAGTGATGAAATACAGTGTATTTGAGGTATTCTGGGCATCACATGAGTTCACTAACTCTTTTACACAAATCAGGAAATATTCTGTCCCCAAAAAAAAAGACTTACAACAACCATACATTCACAGCTAGAATTTATGGGGAATATTATTCAATACAGTAGCTGTAGCCACTTTCACTACATTCTGAAAGCAATTGGCACATGATAGTGAGAGAAAAACAAATGAACTCCAGATGTATTTTACACTTACTATTTCCTTCCCCCACAAATAAACAACTCTTTTCACCTGTCACCTGTGGAAGAACTCAAGGAAACATACATACAATTTTATAGAGTGCAACATTTCTTTTATAATGGGTCTATATTAGGGCAATAAATTATTACAGAGCTATAGCTGTATCCAGTTTCAATTTCTCAGAGGTTTCATTAGTTTTTAGTAATGTGGGTTCATACCCTCCGAGTTCTGCTTTGAACAAACCTGCAATGAAACTCAGTCAGAACAGTCAAGTATCACCTGGTTTTGACAAAGCTGTAGCCCAGTTTTGCTCAAAATATTAACAAACCTTTAGTAAATACAATGGAATTGGGCTGAGTTGAGTTTCCATCTAGACAAGAACAGCGTGTGTCTTCAGGCTTCAGACTGAAAGCTGCACACCATTCTTGTTGCCCGACATTCCTTCTACCTGTTGCTATGTTATGTGTAACGCTAAGTCATTCCAAGGATTTTATTTTCAAAACTTCAGCAAAAGTCTTATAGCTTAATTTTTTTAGTTAGTTTGTCCTTACATTCATCCATATTCAATTTGGGGAGCCAAAAAAAAAAAAAAAAGCCTAGCAATGGTGCTTTGCAGCAGACCTGATTGAGATTCCCAGGTTGCCTCCTTTCAATCTCTCAGTTTTTTAAATCATAAAAGACATGAAGTTAAGGAGATCTGGGCTGTATTCCCAGTTTTGCCACTGGCCTGCCAGTTGGCCTTGGGCAAGTCAATTCACCTAACTGTACCTTAGTATCCCCATTCGTAACATGAGGATAATGAATCTTATCTCCTTTATAAAGGGCTTTGAGATCTATGGATGAAAAGGGCTATAGAAAAGCAAGGTATTGTTATATATTTCATTCCCAATATCTAAGGAATGTAAATGGCCATCATCACCACATTATCGGAGCTAGAGTTGACAATTTTGGTTGGACGTATTCCTGGAGGTTCCAGCACAAGACAATCTTTAATTAAAAGATTAATCTTTAATTCCTGGAGACTCCAAAACAATCCTGGAGGGTTGACAACCTTAATCTGAGTGCCTGACAATTTATCCCATGAGGTAGCGATTATTACACCCATTTTACAGAGTGGGAACTGAGGCACAGAAAAGTGACTTGCGCAAGGTCACACAGGAAGTCTATGGCAGAGCAGGAAACTGAACCTGGGTTTCTAAGTCCGAGGCTAACGCCCCCCAAAAAAAATTGGATCATCCTTCCTTTCATGATGAATATTACAAGTTCAAAGGTGCAATAAACTATTTGGTATATTCTGAGACAAAATAAAAAAAAATTCTTAACAATGGCATCAATTAACAAGTATTTGTATTATTTACACATAGGATTAAATAACTACTTTGAATTCCCACTCACCGCTGGAAGAGCAAAGAAAGATATAGCAAATACTGAGAAACAGGAGGCTATTGTCTTCCCAATCCATGTCTGTGGTACTTTGTCTCCATAACCAATTGTTGTGACCGTTACCTGCACCATAAACAAAGAAAATATTCACTGCAAAGTTATAAAGTTATTTCAGAAAGTGATGTGAAAGCAGCACAATGTAGGACAATCCATTTGGCATAAACACTATAGGCCCGTGCCTAAAGCTCTAGCTCCTGAAATCATTTGCTTATGTTAGACTCTCGATCTGAATAGCCAGGAGAGGAGTGAGTAACCCCATTCATCTCTTTGGGGCACTGCACTGGGGGGCTCCATCAACACCACCCCAGCAGAGGACTCGTAGCAGGAAGAGAGGAGTACAATGATTTCAGCGCACCCATCCAAATAGATACACCAGCAGACAGAATATAAGTACAAGGGGACCCCATCCTGTTGCATCTGGCCTGTCTGGGAGAGGAGGCCCTTGCTGCCACCACTCAAAGTGGGATGCAAGGCCAGGAGGGGAGGGGCACGGGGCTCATATCAAGGCATGCCTAACACACCATATGTCAGGGCTGGGTTTTGGACATGCGGCCTAGTGGCTAGAGCCAGTCAGACACTAGGAAGTGGAGTTGTGGGTTCATCCAGGGTTGGGAACCAGGGGCGAGAGTCAGGAGTCAGTGATGGGACCTAAAAGCCAGGGGTCAGGAACTGGAAGTCAGGAGCAGGAGACAAAGCCAAGTCAAGAACTGGATATCAGAGCCAGGAGGTCAGGAATAGCGTGAAAAAGCAGAGTCTGTAACAGCAGCTAGCTAGGATTCTGCCTAGCTATAGAGACAAACTTCCTGCCAAGGCTAAAATAGTATGTCTGGACCCATCAGGAATGTCTTGTCAAATTGGCTCTCGCTGGGCAGCACACCCATGTTTGGGCCCCTGAGACTCATGCTCTGGTAAGTGTTTCTACTGTCAGGGGTGTTAGGTGGTGGTGTGGAGGCAGCCGCTTCCCAGGGAATCTGCAGTCCCAGGTTGTATACATGCTGAATCTTTCATCATATTGCCATAATTGGCCCTGCCCACTGCCCTGTTTCAACATTGCAAAGATGGTTTACTTCTTCTCAAAATTAAAAGCTCTAGCCATTGACTACAGAGTATTTTTCATTCTGTCCGATACAAATAATTTTCACAGCTAAGGCTATAAAGAGTTATTAGGTTTCAGGACATAGCCCCAAACCTATCCTCCACTCCTTCCATTTTGCCACCAATAATACCAGAAATATGACCAAAATAGGTTGATGAATTCATATTCACCTAACCATTCACAATGGGAACAAAGGAGGCTATGGGAATTAGGGTTGACCAGAGGATGACGATTCCATTTTGTGGCAACTTTCAAGATTTCAGAATTTGTTTTTGTTTCTCCTTGGACAAAATCTTTAAAAAATATATATATATTTCTGAAAAGAAGAAAGGGAGGCTGTTTAGCCTCATGGTTAGCGTGTTGATCTGGGACATGGAAGAACCAGGCTCCACTCCCTCCTCTGCTCCAAATCAGAGCAGAATTTTTCATCCCGTATCACACCAAAACAGGCAGAGCAGGGGATTGAACCTGACTCTCCCACTGAGCTACCGAGTCAGTCTTTACTCTCTGTGCTCACCCCGACTCAAAAACCTTCCTATTAAAAGTTTCATGGAAACAAATACATCTCCGCAAAACCTTATGGCTTCAACAAAATAACATATTTCACTAAAATTTCATTTTGGCAAACATTTTTTGAACGGCTCTAGTGAGAATATGGCCATTTAGAGCACAGTGGCTGCTATCTGCAATTGTTGCACCGTTAGAAACTATAAATAATAATAATAATAATAATAATGCATATTTCTTATAAAGCGCTGTTCATCAGAATATCAAAGCACTTCACAATCATTAATCTATAGTTTAAGGTTTTCCTGAAGAGCCTATAAACAGTTGGAGAGAATATGCTTCCTTTAGAGCGGTGGTTCCCAAACTTGTTCCGCCGCTTGTGCAGGGAAAGCCCCTAGTGGGCTGGGCTAGGCTGGTTTGTGTACCTGCCGCGTCCGCAGGTTCAGCCGATTGTGGCTCCTAGTGGCCGCGGTTCCCTGCTCCAGCCAATGGGAGCTGCTGGAAGTGGCGGCCAGTATGGCACTCAACCCGTGCCGCTTCCAGCAGCTCCCATTGGCCTGGAGCAGCGAACCGCGGCCACTGGGAGCCGTGATCAGCTGAACCTGTGGACACGGCAGGTACACAAACCGGCCTAGCCCAGCCCACTAGGGGCTTTCCCTGCACAAGCGGCGGAACCACTGCTTTAGAGCATTCTCTCAGAGAAGCACTGTAATGAGATCGGAAGGAGGATTTAAAACAAAACAAAACAAAAAAACAGGGCTGAAAATACTATTGAACTAAGACTTTCAAGCCTGAAAACTAGACTCACATTTACTTTATAGATTCTTGGCTCCTCATTCCGAACAAAATGCCAGTTGTTTAGCAAACTCAATATTTTAGCATCTTTATTTCCCTGCAACTTTCAACTGTATGCTCACCTCAGCAAGGACCACATCTTCCCATGAGTCAGTACAGCCCATTGCATAACAGGGCCCTAATAATGATTAGGGCTATTGCTTACTATCCCAAAACAAAGAAATAATAATGATAATCACCAACACCACATGTTAAGTTTCAAAACGATCAGATCTGGGGAGCGGAAGAAATTAAAGCAATGATTCCTTAATGACCATTCAGCTTCTCAGTGCACCCAGATAATCCATTAATGTCTTGCTTTTTCTTCTCCCCTTCATTTTCCTATGAAAGGCTCCTTGTTTTTCTGAGTTCTCCAGCACTCAGGAATTAAAAACCAACTGCCGTAAGGCTGAACTACTCTAACATTACTGTGGGAGACAGCATGAAAAGCCATAACCACAGAAAAAGAGAGAGATGCTTTTCCATCCCTGCAGCAGACATTTGGTGGACAGATTCCTGCAGGTGTCTGGACACGTCTCAGGAAGTTTCTCCATTGCCACTTTAAGAGGACTTTTTCTTGCTAATCTAATTAATACTTGTAAGTATGCAGAATGGATTATAGATAATGTAAATTCTCCATCTTTCTTAATCCTGTCCAGAATTATTTTGAACGTATTTCTAGTAGATGCTAGTGAACCGGTCAGCATATATTTAATAATTAGCTATTGAAAAAATAAGCCTGTTGCCTAAACCAGATTCACTACATCACTCATATCTTCTGCACATGCTCTAGCTAACTTAGCCTCTGATCCTACAAACACACACATGCATAGCTTCAAGAATGAGAGTAGTTTCACTGACAGCAATAGGACTATTCACATGCTTAAAGCTCTTTCAAGTTCAGGGCTTTAGGACCAAACATTAAAAATAAAGGGACATTGCTCTGGCTCGGACATGGGTACTTGATATTGGAGATTTGGTGAAATAGCTCAAAAATTGGTATTACAGGCAGAGTAACCTGATGTAAACAATCAGCTATTTGACTCAAATTCTACAAGACATAAATTAGCCCTGTTCTCATCAAAAGATATTAAGGAAGGGTCTCAAGAGATAAGAATGGAAATGAGATGTTAACAACTTCTGCCCCGAAAGAGGATTCAAAAATAATTTAAAACAGGCAGGATTAATAATTTTGCCAGACTGATAATCCCTTAGGAAATGTCTTTCCATATATGTTAACAAGGTAATAGTGCTGAAAATGGTTCACATAAGAAGCTACAAGTCTTCGGTAGAACTCTGCAATTAAATCTGACATGCCTGTCAAAAGTAGATGAAACAGCCTTGCATTCAACTAGAGCGAGTGAACCCGGTTAACATTTGGTTCCAAATTCCTTTTATTTTTGTTTTATTTTCCTTTTTCCTCAAGTTTAAACCCTTTAGGACCTTTGTATCAAATTCAGCAAGCTTGCACTTTCTACAGTAGGCAAAATCTCACACATAATAGACTCTGCGGTTTTAGCAGATACACACACAAAAAAAAACTTTCAAAAGCTGCTACCAAGATTTTTTTAAATCTTGGATTAGTTTTGAAAAGCAAAAGTAAAATCAAATTTCACTCCCTAATAACTCCACATCTGTGTTTTTGTGGTATAGGAGGTTCTAAAAGAAAAAGAAACTAAGTGATTCACTTTGCCCTGTGTCACTGGTCCCAGCTGTGAACTGCACCTGCACTGTGATTCACTAATGCTGTAGAGGCCTACACGTCTGGAAAGCTTAAACAATTTAATCAGTGTTCTTCCTTCATGTGCCTCACACAGATAAAGACAAAGCTGATTTTATCTACCCATTACACAACTCAAGTAGAATTTTACAGAAAAATCCCTGAGCACTTTGCGCAATACATAAACACTTTAAAAAAAAATAGGTTGAATTCTAAAATGTTCCTGTCTTAAACAATGGAAAGCGTTTAAAGCAAGCACTGATTAGCCTACATTTTGAACTTATTCATTTCTGTTGAAAATTCTCCCAGTTTTCTTTTAACAACTTATAATCAAGAATATTTGCAAAATATGCTCATATGAAGAGATCTTAACTATTTTAAGCCCTGATTCTGCAGCCTTTACTCTGTCAGGCCTGCAGCATCTAGCCCTTAGATTCCAAAATAGTTTCTCATGTTAGAAAATTGGATTTAATTCTTTAAGCATGTTCCTGCCAGTAGCTAAAAGAGAGGGATGTTTTTGTGTTTACTTCTCACGGAAGGTGTTTATATACCACAGTGACGGGAAACCTTATTAAACCATAGCTAAATACTACAAAGTTCACAAGAACAGAGATCGACATCCTATAACAATTACGTTAAACAGTCATCCCAATTTATTAGAGAGAGAGAGATACACACGTTGCCACTAACCTCTTTGGACCACTGGGGGAATTTACAAGCTTCTCAGGAGATCAGCTGAACTAATGCTAGCTCTGGTGGGAGCCCTAATGTTGTTGAGACTCCCACAGCTAGACCCTCTTCTAATACCATTTTGATTACATTTACTTTTCATCATATTTAGCTGAAACGGTGGTAAAAACTAGCTGAGCAGCCATGTCCCCACTGTTTTGAAAACTAGTTTAACTGAACTGGTGGTAGAACAAGTAGGAATTGATTGCTGTTAAAGTTCCCTCAGCATAGACATGGCTTTTTGTGATGTTCGTCTAAAAAGGCACAGATTTGTTTGGCCTTTACTGTTTTGGTTTTTATTCTATATTTTTTCAGCAATCTGCTCTTGTGGAAAGTTTCTTCCTAAGCTCGATTGATTAGGGGCTGTTTTATGCCCAGCTGCGCAAAGGTTTAAGTTCCTTATAAACTTTTTATCATGTATGTCTACAGAGGGGTTTAACAAACAATTGATTTTGTGGGCCACTGGTTTCCCCCTGCCAGACTATTTAGTTCTGTCCGGTCATTTCGGGGGGGGAGGGGGGGAGGTGTTGGTCAGGGTTTTTCATTTTTTTGGATCAATTTATTGGATGCTTTGTGTACCCTACAAATTAGTTGAATACATGATAACCAAATCACTGGAATTAAAAAGATTTACAACATTTTTGAACTGAGCCATTAAAAAAAGGGTAAGCCAAACTTTTATAAAAAATAATTTTAGTAAAGGTTTGTACGCCACCCTTCTAGCACAAATATTATAAATGTTTATGTATTGGGACTTTCAAGGCCCCTTTTTTTTCCATCCCACAAACTCTTACCAGTCTTTATTTAAAGGATTATTTAGATGCAGGTAAAATATTACTTTGTTACTTAAGGAAGTTTTCCATCTTTTCTTTACAAAGACTTGAACTGCTTATCCCTTTGGTCTTGGATTAAACCAGCCTAAATTCATTCTCTCTCTCTCACACACACTTACGTATGTCAAAGCCAGCAAAAGGTTGTGTAAGTGCAAAACCCACCCACATAAGCAAGAGAACTTTCTGTAGCATACCTTAGCACTCACCCATCACATTCAATAGTCTTACAGACATGCTGCACACCTCTGCTATGAACTCCCTTGCACATATGAAGAAAGAGTATGAAATACACGACATTCCCTTATTAACACTACAACAAATACAGCAAATGTAACATCTGTTAGATATATGCACTGTATACTTGTCAATGGGTAGCATGAGGTAGGAATTAAGATTTTGCTTTGCAGCGTGGTTTGGGACGAAGAGAATAGGCAGTTAAGGGATGTGTAAGGGCTGAATGGGCAAGTGGGGGAGTATTGTGGATATTTGGGAGCTAGTGGCTCTAAGTCTGTCCCCAATAATATCTCATCATAAATATCCTCAGGGTATGTCATTCCCCTCCCTATCACCAAACCTGATTTGTCAACCTCCTCTGGTTTGTCACACTGACACTCATAAGCCACATGAGATTTGCCAGTGGGGAAAGCTGCCTCAGGAGCACAGGTGGTGTATCAGACTCAGACTGCTGGTGAGCAGAGGAAAGACATTTCCCAGAGATGTGTCACTAATGTGATAATAATAATAATAATAATAATAATAATGGAGATATCCCATCTCCTAGAACTGGAAGGGACCTTGAAAGGTCATTGAGTCCAGCCCCCTGCCTTCACTAGCAGGACCAAGTACTGATTTTGCCCCAGATCCCCAAGTGGCCCCCTCAAGGATTGAACTCACAACCCTGGGTTTAGCAGGCCAATGCTCAAACCACTGAGCTATCCCTCCCCCTTCCCCCCATCAATTCATCATTGATGAATATGGCTAGAGGAGCATCACCAATACCTGTTCCAATACCACCTCACCAATACCTGTTCTCTCTCTTCACTCCCCACATAACCACATATTCCCTTCTCCACCCAGCTGGGCATTCACACCCCTACACAACGCCCATAACTTCCCATTACCCCCAGCCCCAAACCTTCTTCTCTAGTTCATCATGACTCCTTACTGAGCCCTGCTGCTGAATCTGGGAAGCACTATCAGACATCCAAAACAGCTGATGGATCTGGAGGGCTCTGTCAACTACTCTCAATAGAACTATTTAATGTTATCACAACTTCCTATATTCCATGTTTTAAAATATTCAGTTTGCATTGTAGTACACATGACTGACATCCACACGCATGCTTTGGGGGCGGTCAGTACAGTGGCATAGCTAGAGGTATCTGCATAATGGAATACCCTGGCCTAAATTTCTCAGAGGGCACATTCTTACAGTAATGTTTCTTTTTAGAATAATCACTGAAAAGTAAATTGGGCTCAAAAGAGCATATAAAATTTCAAGATTAATTTCTCGCTCTTTAAAATAAGGATTTCATTCCTACGTTAAGTACAAAATGCAATGCAAACTTTACCATGGAGCCACTACTTTGCCTTCATAATATACTTCAATACTGACATACTTTAGTTCTATTAAGTTTACTTTAAAAAAAAAAAAAAAGGTAAAGTTTCCCTTTTAGATTACCATTTACAAATTGAAAGCCTGATTTTGCAAATCAATAAATCCTTACTCTGGAAAAAAAAAATCCTTACTAACGTCAATGGTCTATCTTGCATGAGAGTGAACAAAGACTAGGCACACACTTTGCTACAGATGACTTACCACACCCCACCACAGGGCATCAGCATAGCTGGAGAAACCTGTTCTTCCATCTTCATCCACTGCATCCTTCTCAGCAAGATAGACAAAATAGGATGAGAAGATCAGTCCCAAGAATCCAATGTACAGAGTGGTTATGAGTTCCTATCACAAAAGAAAGGAAATAGTATGTAAGGCTTAAGTTATGTACTTTCCAGTTTGAAACCAATAACTGTTTGGTTTTACATACTAGCATATTTTGCTGAAAGGCACTATCATGGCAATGCTGTGCAATGGCAATGTTAAAAAGACACTATCAGCATGTTTAGAATGCTGAATGTGCTTCCATAAAAAATAGATGAATTAGTGAATAGCTTTTTATTTGCTTCAAAACTAAGTCATTCAAGGACAAACGGACCCTGACAGTAGAGTTGGACAGGTAAAAACAGACATAAAACTTTGCAATGTCATTGGCCAACTTTGATGATATGCCTTTTAAAACTGAAGATAAATCCTACCATACATTCTTAGAGTATGTGATTTATTTACAGTAAATTTGTTTCTTCTTCACATCCCCCAGCATATTAACAGATATGGGGAGCACAGCATCACCATTCATTCCTGTGCATGGTCTGTTCATCCATTCATGTCCCTGCATACGATGTCCCACCATTTACTCTGTAGTCGGCATCTAGGCCTGACTTACCTTGGTTGCATTTGTGTTAGTCTCTGACATCCTATCATATCTATGTTCTAAAGTGTCCCCACCATTGTAATCTTTTTTCTATTGCAGCCAATTCTGTACCCTGATTTCTCGTCCTACTCTCCTTCTAACTTGATTTATCTTAAGTCATGACTCTTTACATCTGCCATTTTCCAAAGAACCCATCACTACTGCCTCCAGCCTTCTGATGTCTATTTCATTTAATGCACCTGCTTCCAGACCATAGACAGAACAATTGTTTGATAAATTTTCACTTTGGTACCAAATGTAATGTTTTTATTAGTCCATAATTTCATCAACTGTGCAGCACTTGTTGCTAAAGCAGTTCTCCTTTAAACCTCATCTTTGACACAATCAGCAGCATTGATCAAGCATCCTACGTACACATAATATTTGACTTGTTCTACAGTTTGGACTTACAATAAATACCAAGAAGATGATATAGTTGTATCTTGGAAAAGGGACAATGGCTAAAATACATTATCAGTCTAATGAAATCTACTGCAGTATTAGACATTGTAAAATACCCAAAACTTTCCTTGAATACTCCGTTTATAACTGCAATGTCATATCATTATAGACTTAGACATACATGAATCACTTAGCAGTAACCAACTTGAAGGAAATTAAACTAATTTAAGTTACCCACAAGCACATATATAATGCTTAGCTCTAAATATATTTTTCAGACTATTTATTCACCCACACAAGGATTTTCCAAGGATGCACATTATTGCCTTCCACCTAAAAAACTTTTTTTATTTAACGTTTTAAAAGGGATCGGAGACTTCATCCACATTTACTTTGTGTTGCCTGAGAGACTGGGGGTTAATTCCTGTTTTGTCGTTTGTAATACTTTTTGTTTAAGCTTTGCCACCTGCATGAAGACTGAATAGTAAAATTTACTATATGCCTCATCTGTATCGTTCCCTGATTCTTTATTGTGTTTTTCTAGTCACCATTCTGAATTCCAGAGAATTCTTCTCCTTTATTTTGTGTCCCAAATATTGCAAGAATGTTTTTTTACAAATAAAACACAAGTCTAACAAAGAACCCCTCTATTTAAAATACATGTTTCTCTCCCACCATTCTTCTGTCACGTCTTACACTAGCATCCAAAGCTAAATGTCAGTTCCTGGAATATCTGGGTTTTATTACCTTACCCTGTAATTTCTTTCTGCTCCCTTCATTTTTTCATTACAGCATCTCTCTGGTGGCAATGGTGAAGCCTTGGAATGCTCCCCAAGACAACTGCTACTTGTAGCATCGGGAGTCAAGACTCTACATAGCCTGTCCACTGAAACTTCACTGAGATAATCCAGATTCAGTGTACCTAATCAACTTTTGCACAAAACAAAGCAGGTTCCCTTCTCAATAAGTTTTCAAGTACTCCATTAGTGCTCTCTAGTTTCAGTTTTTAGTAGCATCCAGTTTCACCTGTAAGTCCTTTTCTCAGCTCTAGTTGCCTGATGCATTGGTTGAGCAAGGAAGTCAGAGCTGAATCTTCACTAGTCCGTTGTTCCATTGTGGTCAACCTCTACTCCACCAACTCTGCTGCCTCTTTTTGTACAGCAGTTAATACACTTGCTATGTCTGATCTTATTGCTTTGAACTCTGTTAAGAGTTCCTTTTATATTTGCAGCTCGCATTGTTTTCTCTTGGTTTTGGCAGCTCTCTGTGCTATCTTGTCCAAGTCATTCCTCTTTCAGCAGTGATCATCCATTCATTATACTAAGATATTGTTTAGTTTGTAGGCATGGGTTACTCTAGCTATGGACAAACTAGGCAGCTTCCCAGGGCAGCAGATTTGTCCCAGCTGCCCCTCTATCATGATGGAGGGGTGTTCTGGCCAAATATGAGTGGCACTGTGACCCCATGCACCAGGCTGCAATTCCAGTCACTCAAATTTGACAGATGGACAGCTGGGTCAAATCTGCCATCCTAGGCTTATAAGGAGAGGGGTGGCACACTGACGTTTTGCCTAGGGCAGCAGATAGTCTTGAGCTGCCTCTATTTGTGGGTGTCCATTTAACAGTTGGAAAGCCTGAATTAAGTAGACTGTAAAGGGCAAGAAAGCCAATGGAGGCAGATGTTCTAGACACCAACTGAGCATGAAGTTCCTATGCTTCCATCCCCAGGAGATATCACTTCCCACTGAATCAAGGTACCGTATTAGTGCCACTAAAGCTGTCTGTCTTGCTTCAAACCAAAGCCCAACTACAAAACATCCAAGCTATTGGTAGATGTCACAAGTCACTGGAACACAGAATCCACTACTTTCTCACTGATTTTACCTTAGAATGGAGGCCAGAGACCAGACAATAGTTGGAGAGATTTTCTATGTGAAGTATTGGCTTTAAAAATCAGGCAGACAAATATGATTTTTAGTGGAGTTGGGCAAGATCTCAGGATCTCACTGTGACTGAAATGTCACCAGAACTACTGAGGATATTTCAGCATCAGCATCTCTAAACTGTAGCCCTATTCATCAAAGCCTGAACCCTTGTCAAAACTCAGTCTGGATGCAAACATCACTTCCTCTGATCATCTCTAATGGCCACTCTGAATACGTACATACATGTTTAAAAACAAATACTGCAATAGCAAGTGTGTATATATAAATATTAAAAATAATTGTTCCAGCAGCCCTATACTAAGGAGATATGTGTAAGATAGGCATGAGCGCCAGGTTTGTATAATTTTTGGTGGTGCCCAGAACAGGTCCAAGCAGAGCCGTCTCATACATAGGACGGACTGGGACAACCGCTCCGGGCCCCAGGGGGCCCTGCGCTTCAGGGGCACGTGGGGTCCCGGGCGGCCTGCAGGGTTAGCGGGGAGGCTGGTGCCAACAGCAGGGAGAAACCCAGCCCCAGCCCACCCGGCTCTGCTCCGCTGGCTCCCAGCATCGCTCAGGGGAGGGGGCAGAAGCTGAAAAGAGGCGGGGTGGAGGTTTGGGGGAAGGGGCAGGAAGAGGCGGGGTTGGGGCAGAGCAGGGGCGGGAAGAGGCAGGGCGGGGGTTTGGGGAAAGGGGTGGGGGCAGAGCAGGAGCAGGAAGAGGTGAGGCGGGGCAGAGCAGGGTGAGGTAGGCTGGGGCTGGGTTGCTTGCTGCTGGCGGCGCCAGGCCCCCCGCTAACCCTCCAGGCCACTCTGGATCCCGCATCCCCCCGAAGCACGGGGCCCAGGGTGGGTTGCTCCGGTCTGTCCTATGGATGGGACGGCTCTGAAAATATAAGCCCAAACATTGGTAGAGTCGGGCACCATCACGTTCCTGAATATTGATGGAGAACAGGCACCACGGACCCATATAACTCGCCGCCTATGAAGACAGGATATAAAGATTTCAACGAAAGTGAACTAAAGTACATATAAAGAAACAGGATTTGATGGCTTGCACTAATATAGCATCTAACATCTGAAGTCCCCTGAATGTTTTGCAGAAATCAAGGCTCAGATTATCATCTCTATTTTATAGCTGAAGTAACAGACAGAAGTTAAATAACTTGCCCAATAAAAGAAAGTCAGAAGAAGGGCCAGATATACAACTCAAGAGTCCAGGTGTTGCAGTCCTTGCACTTAGCACACAGCAAAGCTTACTCTCGTGCTTTTGATTAGGACAGCTAACATACTGAGATGCTATTCATCAGGATCACAAAAAAATAGAGTCACAAAAAAAATTATTTTCCTTTTCTCCTCCACAGAAGTCCAACACGCTATACTTTGCAGTTATGACTTAAACAATTTTTAGTGGTGGGGTGGTGTGGTGTGCAAAGAAAGCCAAAATCACACTTGCATATAGGGTAACATGATAAATCCGTATTGAGGAGTTTAAGTCAATACGTTATTTTAAACCTGGACACATTTTTAATTATGACAAATTATCCCAAATAATAATACTCAGAACCAACAATTGACCTTCTATTAGAAGCATTATGGCAGCTCACAAAGCAAGATGAGGGATAAGTGAACCTCTGTGATTAGAGACTCATAAGCTGGAGCTCGATAAGTGAACTCCATAGTTTTTCAGTGAGCTGCATGATTTTTTCCAAGTTTTTCCATCACCATATGTGATATTGACTCATATTCTGTTGCCTTTGGCAAAAACCACTAGTATAAGCTCAACCTGCTGAAAATAGCTGAGTGCCCTGGCCAAATCGGGTTTCAGTGAGCTAATACAGCTATATGTAAAACTCAGACACACATGGAAAGCATTGGTTCAATCTTTAGTAAGCTTTTCTGGGCACAGACAGATACAAGCGAATCCATTTTCAATGGAACCCAAATAATTTACTTTTTTGCACTTTTCAGGGATTTAGGATCCTATTTTATATTGAAAAAGTATCCAATTAATCAAACAACAAGAACAAATAAAAGTCTGCTTTGTATCCTGGCTGCAAAGAAAAAGAAACTGAGATCCTTTTTTCTTTAAAACGCAAATTTCTATTGCAGACTGGAGGGGAATAAAAGTTCTGTTTTCCCTTCTGTTCACTGTAGTTTCAGCTACACTTATCCAATGTCAATAAAGTATATTTTTGATTTTGAACTGCTCATGTGTCAGTGGATGATCTCCTTGGTCAAGCACCACAGATATGAAAACTGTTTATAGATCATCATAATCACTTCTCTGGAGTAATAGAACTTCAAATTCATTTGGTCCATGGGCTTATCTTCTCCAAGGTATTTTTTATTTGCCCCCGAAAACCCCCACAGTAAGCCTCATGAATGGTAAGAAAATAGTTTAGGAGTCTAGTCCAGTATTATATGGATAGCCATGTAGTGTAGAGATAAACAATGAAGCTTACACTGACATGGGCCATTAAAATTACTCCTGTCATATAGGAATGAAGTGTATTTGTGTTGAGGGATTTTTGCTGTTTGTTTTGGGATTTTTTTTAAACAGGAATTCAATGTTTTTCAATGGAGTTCAGCCTGTTGGAGCTGAAGTTACCTGCAGTGCAGCAAAAATGTTAATAGCACAAGAATAACTATACTATAGATGTTCACTGTTTTGCTTTAAGCGGCTCCCAGTCATCTGTAAGATAACATTACATAACAATGATCTGCTGAAGTAAACGCAGGTGGCACCTGTGATGGAAGTTCATAGTTGTTTACACTAACTGGAGAACAGATTTATATGAAGAAGTGTGAAGGAAGGACTGTCATAGGAGGAGAAATAATTGGCTAGAAAGGTGAAGAAATCTAGAGCATGGAACAAGCCATTATAATATGACAGGATGAATAAGAGAGAATGACAATAATATTATGTTGATATGATTAACCTCAAGCACTGGTTTTAATCAAAAAACTATTCAAAAGTTATCCTTTAAAAAGGGCCCTTCAATCATTCATTTGCCAAAGTCTGTGTAAAAGTCTATACGAAAAGTGATTATTTAAGCTTAAGTACTTCTGAACAGGAGAGGTAATTCTAAAATGTAAAAGCTTTAACAAAAACAGGCTGCTATTTATAGAAATATTTACCTGTATTTCACAGCCTATATCCTTAGATAAAATAGTGTTTTCTGCATGTTATAACACTATATTTAATATTTTTATTTATAGCACAGATTAGAAACCCCAATATTTAAGTAGCTAAATAAAAAGGAATGGTTAAAATGGTTGATGTGTTTACTTAAAATGTTTCCACTGGTTTTTGTTTTTTTGCCAAAATAACCTGGGCTAGAAGACATTTCCTGCAAATACAGCTGACAGCATTTTTATATGCGAAACAAACCATGTAACTCTGTTTAATAAATTATGCCTGCATAGTTCCATCAAACTTCACAGAGAACCATTATTCACAGCTATAATGCTAATTTCCAGAAAATACCACTGCTGGTGCCTACTGGCCACCAAACTGAAAGAAATATTCAGCCTAATTATGTTCCTGTTTTAAAAATAAAAAGAAACGTGATTGTCTTTGAAAGTGATTCATTCTATCTTGCAACAATCATTGTTCATTTTAAACCAGATCATGATTTGAAATCCAAGAGATGAATAAGCTTCACAGGCCACGTGTTAGGGATTTTAAAATATCCAGTACCTGACGATGTATGAAAACAACTGATCCTAAGAGTCTCCAAGTGCCACCCTGCCGATCTACATGAAGCATGCGAAGTATCTGGAGAAACCGGATTCCCCTGAAAGAAAAATGTGAAATGAAATCAAAAACTTAAATATCTATACAAACTATTTTTTAATCTGCACACAACCTTCAGGATGCATTTATATACTGTAATTAAAAAAACCCGCAAAAACAAAAAACATGTGCATGATCATCCTTCAGGATGCTGAGCAACTTCTCTTCCCAGAGATGTGCCTGGGAATTAAGACTATTCAGTACCTTGTGTGTGTGGACCCATAAATACAGAGTAGTATACAGTATTGAAATTTAAGTGTATAGTATATCAATATACCAAATAGTTAAATAAATTGTACAACTATTTGTTCATACTCATAAGCACATTACATTTTTACTTATTTGTGACTCTCAAATGTTTGCTTTCTGAGAACATTCAGTACCAAAACTTTACTAGTGTGAACACTTGCAAAAAGTAAACTTTTAACCCTTATATTTTCCAAAAGCAAAACCTGAATTGAACGTTCAATCGTAAAAGTCACAATTCTCACTTTTTTGTATGTTTTTAGTTACATAAATCATCCAATCAGCGAGTAGAGACAATACTATGCAACTTAAGTAACCAAACAGAACATGAATTTTGAATTGGGAACTTTTGCAATTCAAGGAGGGTTGCCAGGTGTCCGGTTTTCAACCAGAGCACCTGGTCGAAAAGGGACTGTACCTATTGGGCTTCAGGAAGTGGGCGGGCGTAAGCTGCTAAAGGATCCCCCCCAGCCTAACGGGAGGACCCACAGGGCCTAAAACCCAAATGATTACGGGGGACAACTAATGTAAAAACAGGGACAGGAGTGCGGTCAAAGGGTCAAAAGAAGGGAACCTGACGGGGACACCGAGCAGAGAACCCCGGACAGCGCCCACTGCTCCTCAAAGGTGTCAAGGGAGCCAGTGGACGCCGCCCAGAGGAACTCTGCCCGGATATGTGAACGGACAGAGGATCGGAAACAAGCCCCACAGTCACAGGAACCTCCATCGGCCAACCTCCTCTCCCTGGTTTTATAGATGGCCTGTTTAGCCAGGGCCAAGAGGAAGTTGACAAGGAGGTCCCGTGACTTTGTGGGGCCACGGATAGGGAGTGCATAAATAAGAAGGTGAGGGGAAAAGCGTAACCAAAACCGCAACATAATGTCGGTGAGGAGCCGGTGTAGGGGCTGCAACCTGGCACACTCAGTAAACGTGAGCCAGGGTCTCCCTCACGCCGCAGAAAGGACAGGTGTTTGGGACAGGGGTAAACCGCGCCAAGTACACGCCCGTGCTCATGGCCCCATGAAGGAGCTGCCAGCTGATATCCCCGGCGGGCCTCGGGACCAGGGTGGAATAGAGGCTGGCCCACCGGGGCTTCTCACCCTCAACAGGTGGCAGGAGAGCCTGCCACTTCGTATCGGGGCGGGACACGAGGGTGAGGAAGTGAAGAGTGTGGAGCACGAGCGTGTAGAGATGTTTCCTTGGCGCGGTCAGGAAACGAACCAGCTGCAAGTCGTGCAGCCGGCTCATGGAGAAGGGGCGGGGGGGGGGACCGGTTGGGTCCACGGGGCAGGGGCCCGATAAAAAGGTCCGGAGGACTAGGGGTGGAGGGTGGGCGGGGCGTGCCCTCGCGCAGGACCTGGTTGAGGTAGACCTGAGCAGCGGGCAGCAAAGCGGCCCTCACCTCCTGAAGTACGCGCCGGGGAGTACAAGGCCTGGAGAGCCCCATGCCCCGAGCGAGCATCAGGGGATCCAGACAGACTCCCCGGTCGGAGTCCAGGAGGTCTCCGACTCTAGTGACGTCTGCCAGGACCAACCTCTGGCGCACCACGGGGGACTCCGCCACCTGCACACGAAGCTGGGGGTTGTGTAGCAGGGGCTTCGCGAGGAGATCTGCCCCCCCCGGTGGCCGCCACGGACCTGGTCGCTGAGAACAGTTTCCAGGTCCGGAGAAGGTCCTGGTAGAAGACCAGCATCCCAGAGAGGTCTCGCGGAAGACCTCTCGGATCGAGATAAAAGAGCTGCTGGTCGTATCGGAGCCCTCGGAAGCGGCGCAGGAAGGCATGCGCCAATACTCTCCACGCCAGACTACCTGCACCATAAAGGAGCCTCTGCAGGGCCTGGAGGCGGAAGACAAGGACTTGAGTGCGGAGGCACTTCAGGTCCTGCCCTCCCTCCTCCAGGGGTAGATGGAGAACCCCCGCAGAGACCCAGTGCAGTCCTGGCCAAAAGAACTCCAGAATCGCCCTCCGAAGGTCGGCCAGGAAGCCCGGGACTGGGACCAGGGTGTTGAGAGGTACCAGAGCATGGACAGGACTAGTTGATTGAGTACCAGTGCCCTTCCACGAAGGGAGAGGCACCGGAGTAGTCCTGTCCATTTCCGGAGCCGCTCCGTCACCCTGCCCTGTAAACCTTGCCAGTTATCTGGCAGAGATGGATGCATGGCAGAGAGGTAAACGTCAAGATAGAGCAGCGGACCCGCGCTCCATCGGATGGCCTGAAGCGCGGGTGGGAAGGAGCTTGCCTGCCACCCGGCCCCTACCACCAGGCCAGAGCTCTTGACCCAGTTGACCCGGGCGGAGGAGGCCGCCGAGTACACGGTCTGGCAAGCCTCCACCCGCACCAAGTCGCCCGGGTCCTGGACCACGAGGAGCACATCGTCGGCATACGCCGACAGGACCAGCCACAGCTCTGGCTCCCGAAGCACCAACCCAGTCAACCTCCTGCGGAGGAGACAGGAAGGGCTCGATCGCCAGAGCGTACAGCTGGCCCGAGAGGGGGCACCCCTGCCGCACTCCCCGCCCGAAGCTGACCGGCTCGGTCAGGGTCCAGTTGAGCCTGACCAGACACTCCGTGGAGGCGTACAGCACCTGGAGAAAACCCACAAACTGGGGTACGAAGCCTAACGCTTGCAGAGTGCCCAGGAGATACTCGTGGTCCACCCTGTCGAACGCCTTCTCCTGATCCAAGGACAGGAGGGCGAACGACAGACCATCCCTACACCCAAGTTCCAAAAGATCCCGGACCAGGTAGAGGTTATCAAAGATGCTACGGCCCGAGACGGTGTAGGTCTGGTCTGGGTGGATCACGTCCTCCAGCACGGACCCCAGCCGCAGCGAGATGGCCTTGGCTACGATTTTGTAGTCCATGCTGAGGAGCGAGACGGGACGCCAATTCCATAAGTCGCGGAGGTCCCCCTTCTTTGGCAATAAGGCGAGCACGGCTCGCCTGCACGAAAGAGGGAGGACCTCGCTCCACAAGGCCTCGGCCCAGATGGTGACTAGGTCCGGGCCGAGGACGTCCCAGAACACACGGTAGAACTCCACGGTCAGCCCGTCCATGCCCGGAGATTTATTGGTGGGCATGCGGCGGAGGGCTTCCGAGAATTCGGCCACAGAGAGAGGTAACTCTAGCCAGTCCCGGGCGCCCGCGCTGACCATCGGGAGTCCGTCCCAGAGCACTCTGCAAGCGGTAGGGTCAGTCAGATCCGGGGAGAAAAGGTGTGCGTAGAAAGCCCTGGCCCTCTCGCACATCTCCACCGGATCCGTGAGGGGGGTGCCGTCCTCCGCCAGGAGGCAGGTGACGTGCTTCTCGGCCCCCCTCCTTTTCTCCAGGGCGTAGAAGAAGCGGGAGCCGCGATCCATCTCCTGAAGGAGGCGGATGCGGGATCGAACAAAAGCACCCCGGGCCCGATGATCGTCGAGGGCCCGGAGCTCCTCCCGCTTCTCCCGGCACGCTCCACAAAGGGATGGAACCTCAGGGCTGGCGGCCAGACGCCTCTCTAGCTCTAAGACCTCCCGTTCCAACTGCTCTACTGCCACATCCCTCCGTCGGCTGGCACCCCGGGTGTAGTCGCGGCAGAAGAGCCGGGTGCGCACCTTTCCTAGGTCCCACCACCGCCGCACCGAGGGAAAGGCACGCCACTGCCCTCGCCAGACCAGCCAGAACTCCCGGAAGGATGCCACGAAGCCCACATCCTCCAGCAAACTATTGTTAAAATGCCAATAGGCCGGCCCCGGCCTCTCCGCACATAGAGAGGCCGTCACGGTGACTAGATGATGATCTGAAAAGGGGACCGGCTGGACGTTGGAGGAGTGGGCCCGTGAAAGATGGAAGCGTGCCAAGTAAATGCAGTCCAACCGGGAGTGGCACGACCGATGGGCTTCCACCCGGACATAGGTGAACGTGGACGCGCCAGACGTCCACCAGGGAGTGATGTTCCACAATCTCCCGGAGGACATCCACGGCGGCCGGGCACTGCTCGGTCCCAGAGTGGTCCCGCTCCTCGAGGGTAGCATTGAAGTCCCCGCCCAGGACCAGGCACACACGAGGATCCAAGGAGCCGAGGAAGGCGGACGCCTGCTGATAAAAAGGCAGCCGCTCCGGGCCCGACGTCGGGGCATAGACGTTGAGAAGGTTGACCACAAGCCCCTCCATGCGGACCCGGAGGTGCAGCAGGCGGCCCGGCATAACCTCGGCAACCCCCAGCACCTCGGGCTGTAGGTCGGGGGAGAACAGGGTAGCCACTCCAGCCGTACGAACTGTGAGTTGGCTAAAATAGACCCTGTCCCCCCCACTCCAGCCGCCAGCTGTCTTCGGCGGCCGGATCCGTGTGGGTCTCCTGCAGGAAAACCACAGAGTACCCCCCTCCCGAAGGAAGGAGAGCACCTGGCACCTGCGGAGACCCACCCTACAGCCCCGGGTGTTCAATGTTGCAAAGGTGATAGATGGCATGAGGAGGGCTGGGGGGGGATCCTCGTTGGCAGGGATGCTCATGGCCCCCATTGGGCCGCGCAGCAAACCGTGAACCACCCCGAAGGTGAGCAAGGAGTCACGGAAGCTGCGGACCCGCTGGTAAGCCATGGCACCCTGCTTCCCAGTCCTTTTACCCTCCCCCATGAGGGCCCTCGCGGCCCGGAGGATCTGATGGAAATCCCCCCATCGCTGGAGAGCGAGCGGCACCTTATTGCGGGAGCCACGGACGTCTTCTAAAAACTCCCACAGCTCTTCTCGCAGCGCATGGGGGGGGGTGGGGTC